GACCTGGCACCCTCTGCCCATCCTATCCATCACCCTATGGCTATGGAACATGGCAACACCCAGTGACACCAGGAGCTCCTTTCCCTTTCTCAGCTCTGTGGGAAGGACAGCACCAGAATAGTAGGTTTGTTAACTCCCAAGGCATTCATTTGGCAGTCTTTAGAAAATGAGACAATGTGAAAAGGATTGGAAGGGGTTTACAGATAAAGGCCATCCCCCATTTTATTGATCATGCGTACACCAGTGTGGTTAGAACAGGGAGACACAGCTCAGGTTCAGTCAGAAAACCTCCAAGCCCAGTTCTGACCCAGGGCTCCTCCTCTGCTGACCCAGCTCCCCTGAAACCACAGGCTCTCTGTACTGCTGTGCTGGATAAAGCATCACCATGGAGCCCTCTCTGCACCAGGGACACTGATGCCCCTGAGTCCCAGCCAGACTGACAGCACAGGACAGTACCAAAAGAGCCACTCCATCCCTATGCAAGTCCTAGAAACATTCCTAAAAACAATTTTAGAGTCATTCTCTTGCAATAAGTCTCAACAGGAGGTTTTGGAAGGAAACCTCATCTATTGTAAAACAAGATTTGAAAGGCCGAGTTGAGGAATGAGTAGAAGAGAGGCATATGAGGACCACATTTAGTGGTGAACAGAGTGGTACTGGGTTAACCAACTGGACTCAATCTTAGAGGCCTTTTCCAACCTGAATATGATAGACTTCAAAATAATTGAATTCGTTTTTTTAGGATTTTATACGATTCCATCTACACATATGACTACAAATGCACATATGTATGGTTTTAAATGCACAGCTTTCAAAACTTCTTAGCTTAATTTTATTTATCCTTGCTTTATGCTAATATTGTTCAGCCTCAAAACAGCAGCTCAGGCTGTACAAGTCTCCCACCCAGGAACTGTGCCCAAGGTGGGGTCCAAAATACAGACAATGCCCAGAAGACCAAAGCTGTGCCCGGGAATTTGTCCCTCTCCCACTGGGGAGTTTTGTACCAAAACTGGAATATCCAGAGAGAAATGCCAGAGTCTACCGAAGCAGCTGATAATTACACAGTAGCACTTTAAGCAAAGTTTTCTTAGTTCTCAAGTGTAAGCATGTATTTTGCAAAAACAGCATGCACCTTTGAAGGGGAAGGCAACACCACATTTGCATGCTTCAGAGAACCAACACCCCCTCTCAGAGTAAGCCTGGGATGTTTCCATGTGCAGAAATCTCTGCTCCCCTGAAACATGGGAGACCCTGAATTTCGGGTGCACAGCATGAGCCAAGTGCTACCCCCTGATAAATATTCATACCTATCTCAAACATCAGTGGGAACCTCATTTATATGGGCATGCACATATTCATATGATTTACACAGGTAAACAAAGTAAATGTAAATCAAGTGCAAGTAATGAATATACTAACACTAGCTGTTACAGATACTCATTTATAACATCATTGCATGATGTTTTGCATGTTCAAAAATTTAGACTGATTTTAAACTGGTAACATAGGCAACATGCATTAAACCTTTAATGTTCTTCAATTGTCCAGCTTCATTCCCCAAAGAAACAAATAACCACTTCAGAGTCCAACCATGCTCCTCTGCATTAATTAGTATAAGATGAACACCAGAGAGAAATTTCATCAGCATAAAAAAAATGTGCTTTTTCTGCACATATTTGCAAAAAGCACAGTGTGATATCTACAGTTTTGCCTGGTTAGTACAGACTTGTGTTTCTCTTTAAGGCTGGTGAACTAGGCAGGTGCTAGCTCCAGAAACAAATTTTGAACAGGATTCTATCCCAACTTAGAAGACCAAGACTGAAGGAAGTTTATGTTTTGTGAAGATTTAACACTGAAACAGGCAGACTCCTACAGTTTCAGAAAGTTAATTTCTGCCCCAGTTCTGTGCATGTCTTTTACAGCACTCTGGTGTTATTTTGGGTTGGGTTGGTTTTGGTTTTTTTGGGTTTTTTTCTATAAAGAATTTAGGGAAAATAATGCCCCCAGTAAAACAACTCTGAAATAGCAGTGGGTTTGAACTTCTTGAAAATTGCTCAACCAGTTTTGAGCAATTCATCCAGCTTAAAATTGTATCATTGTACAAACTTTGAAAGCCATATTTGGCAGTGTTCTTCAAGAACAGTTAAGACACAGGATTATTGTTATTTAGCTGGAGTGGAACGTTCTGTATGTATAAAATTTGTGTATATTGCAATGATTAACTTAAGTGTGGCTGAAGAGTTTAGAAGCATGAAAATCAAGTACAGTGTTCAGGTCGTAAAATACCATGTGAAAAAAAACCAAAACAACAGTTTTGGGATGAGGCAGCAGATTTTCATTTTGTTTAAAAAACCCCAAAACCAACAACAAATAAAACAAACAAACAAAAATAAAGCACCAATATGAGTCATGTAGAACCCAAGTGAATCTTCTTTATCTCCTCCAAAGATTGGGAAGATTGCAAAGCTGTATCTAAGAACGGGGAGCTGCAGGCTCAGCTACAGCATTCAAGGCCAGAACCTCATTTAAAGCCTTGAAGTCATATATATATATATATATATATATATATATATATATATCTTTTTTAAATTATGCCTACTAGCAAATTTGGCTCTGTTTACAGAACTTCAACTGCAAAAATCCACTTAGCTTGTTGTTGAAGTTGTGATCCTGCTTTAACAAGTAGGGTTTTTACCTGGGGCAGATCTGCCCAAGCAGTCCCCACGGAGGCGAGCACTGGGCACGGCTGCCAGGATGCAGCTGTGAACTCCTGCTCCACCACTGCAAGCAGCACTGGCACAGCACACAATAGGAAAGCAAGCTAAAATCACCATTTGGACTGGAGGTAAAGGGTGCTGTGCATAACCTCTCTGCACTGGCTGGGCTGCCAGCATTTCTGAGAACCCCTTATCGGTGAGTGGGGTCAGGGTCCCCACTCCTCTCCCAGCACAGCAGCCTCCCGTGCTGCAGGGACAGGCACAGATAGCTCCACAGCAGCCTGTGATTCACACCCCAGGAATGTTTGGTAGATATCCCCACCGAGCCCACTGACTGTGGCTGCTCATTCCCAGCAATCTGAAGATTCATGTTTCTCTCGTTAAATCAGCGATGACACACTGAAGTGCAGGTCTGGGCAGGGGCCAGGTTCATGATGAACATCTTCAAGTATTTCACGGAATATCTATACCCACACTCTTCACATGCAGACATTCTACAGCCATTTGCGAGTTGGTTGTATGTGCATCATAGAAATGTCCATCAGTTTCTGCAAATACTTACACCATGCCACTAAAAATAAATCTTTAATCTCAAGGGGCAATAATACCATACTTTCAACACTGTGAAAGGTGTTGATTAACTTCCTCCTTGGCAACATTGTAAAGCATTGCACAGCCTATGTATTTTATGTACCAACCCATTTCTATGAGTCTTCTCACAAAATAAAAATTAATCACTTTTTTTAGGAAGTTTACAGAACAAAGCCTTGGTTTTGTAATGTCACCATTTGAGAGGAGACTTAGTTTTTACATTTCACGTGGGTCTTAAAACTCCTTTTTTGTGTTGCAAACACTTCCTCAAACTTACCACCATGGAAATTTGGACCTGGTATGTGTATGGAATATTTCCTATAATTTGCTAATCATCAGACACTTTCTCATTCCTTCCCTTTCCTGTTTTCATCACAAAGATGCTCCATGACATAATGTTCAAAGACTTTTCCAAAGAACAAAAAGGGAGGAAGGAAGCACAGGTCAAAAAGGGAAATGAAGGGAAAAAGGAGAGAAGAAAAATTGAGCCTGCCAGGAACACAGTGCAAATAGCTGTAACGACACTCCTTTACTAAATAAAACTATATTAAGGACCCTTATGACCTTTAAATACATTAACAATCATTGGGAGCTTATGAAAAGTGAATAAAATCAGAGAACTCTCTATGTACTGAAGGGAACTTGGTGTTCTTCTCACTCATGCTTTTGAGAAGTTTCAGTCAATGATGCAAACCAGAAGAAAGAAGCTTTCAACACTGCCTATCTACTGAGTCCATGAAGGAACACTTCAGTAATAGTTTTAATTAAAATGCCCTCCACATTTTGGTGTCTAGTTATACCCCAGTATGCCACTCTTCTCTGTTCTACCTCTATACAGTCAAGTAGCTCCTTAAAAATTACCCTTCTTGGGGCAACATTTAGCCATCCCTTGCTAATAAATGAATGAATTGCTCTCAGGACAAAGATAGTAGAAATATTCTGTGATAGCCAGATGAAACAACTGGCAGGAACTAGAGTACTTTGTACTTTTGTCAGCAAGATTTACACCAGTGCTCAATGGTGCATTCTATCAAAATACATACTGCATGCTCTGTGAAAAGATAATTTCCTGTCCTCTCCACAGCCAAGCAGACCTTCTCCCTCAGTAGCTATCACAGAGCAATTACCCACATTCTGCTTGTGAAAAAGCACTACCAGGAAAGGACTTCAATCCATGCATTTAGCAGGATTGTCTTTTGCTCTTGTACAGCAGCTGGAGCCAATGCCAGGTGACACAGACAGATCCCCAGACCTCCAAGCAGCACTTTCAGAGAGCAGCTTAGGAACTGCTGCTGAAACACATAAGCCTGCTGACTATGTTACAGTTTGTACCTTGCAAACCCCTGTTTAATAAAGCAAGTAGTTCTTGAGAGTCTGTAATGAATGCAGCCTACTTCTTCAGAAGTTTGCATCTTACACTTGTTTGGTGATGAAGTATAAAAAGGACAGAAAGTCTGAGACAGACTGGAAAACAGGATGCTTTAAGGCTTACTCATATATTGTGAGTTTCCACAGAACTTTCAGAAGAAAAACACCTTAAAATCTGTCCAAATCAGTTGATAACCAGTTTCAGCATATTAAAGGAAGGGTTACTGAACAGACACACTGTATGTGACGGTAGAATCCTTGCTTCTGCAGAAAACAAGTTTATAAATTCCCAAGATATGAAATCAAAAACCAAATTCCACTTACCTTAGTGTTCATACAAGACTTTCCACGTTTATACTCTTTGTGACTTGCTCTCTTATCAAGCTTGTTCCACAAAGCTTTGGCCTTCCATGTAGTCACTCTTGATTTCAGTTTGGTATAAAAGTTTCTATTGTCCAAAGGATCTAATTCAAGTTGGCGAGTGAGAATATTGAAGGCCTGAATGGTGCCTTTGCATGTTGATGCTTGTACAAAGTTTTCAAATATCTGGCCAGCTTGATTGTATTTTTCATCATCATTTTCCCCCATGTTCTGAGAGTAGAGCTTGAGAATGATTAAGCTGGAGCTCTTGTGCTGGTGTACAGGTGATCAACACTAGCAAGTACTTCTACACATGTTATTCCTAGAAAAGACAAACACAGGGCATATAAAAGCAGGTTCTTCATGATAAAATTAAATCCACAAACTGCACATGCAATATGAACATAAAGCCCCAGCATACAGTGACTAGACAAGCAGGCACAAAAAGTTTGTAGTGATACCCAAGTGTTACAAACATAACATTTGTGCTGTGATATCTTGTACTCACAAAGACTGTTATAAAAACCCTAACTCAAGCCTACTGCTATAAAAAGAACAAACTTCACTGAGAGCTTGAAGATTTAAGTTTTTTTTTTCTTTTTTGTTCAGTCCTAGATAACTGATGAGCAAACCCCAAAAGTCCAGATTTTTTCCCCAAGTGGAATTTATGTAACAGGAAGAGACATTTTGGTCTTAAGAATTGATGGAAACCTGCAGACAAAAGTCAACATGGTTTAATGGATTTTTTTATGCTGTTGCACAAGTTAGGGCCAAGGGTGCAGCTCACCCAGAGCAATTCAGAAATGGCACAATCACTTGCCACAAACAAATATACAAAACAGGCTAAGCAGAAACATCATCACAAGTTATACCAGAACTAAAGAAACCAGAAAACAAGTAATCACAAGGAGTCCTCCTTTTTCTAACACTCTTGCCAAAATGAGAAAGGCTTTAGTGCATAGAAAGGAATTTTATCTCCACGTCTCTACATGTTCAATGCTGAAGTTATGTGTTTGGAGTCTTACCTTATCATGTGCTGATGATATAAAGTAAGGATGTTTGGCCTGCTAAGCCTCATTGGCTCTTCCTAGTAACATGATTACTGTCAAACTGTGCCTGATATTCCAGATAAATACCCTCACATTCTGCAAGAGCAATGCTATTCTAAATTAACACAAGTTTCAATTGCGGCACTCCCTTATCCTTTAACCTTGTTCCTCAACTCTAATGGGGAGCATCTTAGAGTCAGCCAAGGTCCACAGAAAGTATCCAATTGGCTTTCACATTTTCCAAGAATATTGTTACAGGTTATGTATAAACTTGTCCTCAGAAGAAGGTTTACCTGGACTCAAGCTCAGAAACTTAAGTCATGTATCCTTTTTCTTGCTATTAAAGAATTATCTGCCAGTCCAAGAAACAAAAAACTAAATCAATGCTTGCCTAACTTTCCACATAATTAGCTATTTTACTTGGAATGTCATTTGTTGGCTGATAGTTTCAGAATAAATTGTTAGAAAGGCCTTTGAAGTCATGTGTCTCAGTTTAACACTGTTCACAAACTATTCATTCTCTGCTTGCATTTCCTTCAAAGAAGAAAAAAGAAAACATAACCAGCATATTTAAGTAAAGAAGAGACCCACCATGTCTATCTTACCATCCTCTAATACAGAAAAATATTATGCAACTTATTAAAGAGATCCCAGAGGGAGATATAAGGAAGCATTTGGAATACTCACATTCCCTGTCTGTGCTCAAAATAAATAACCTTTGTATACACATCATCAGTCTGTTGTGGGTTTGTGGGTAAAATAAATTGGCAATGTTGAGAGTTTGTACATTTTCTTAGACCAAATGTCATGATTAAATGTTTGGTGCCAAGAACAAGTCAGGAAATTCTTGTTTTCCCCTCTGAATACTTCATTTATAGTACACTTCATGCCCTCTTCTTCAGAGCTTTGTGAGGTAAAAGCATAAATGTTTTACATGCCCCGCCTTTCAGAAGATTTAATTTTTCAAGCAGCAGAGCGCCATGAACTCCCATTGACTCAGAAGGAGTTCAGGGCATGGTGCACTTTCCCAGGTTGGAACACTCAATGATTAATGAGCAAAGTCCCCAAGAACTTTGTGCCAGCCTGGCTTTGCCAACCCACTGCAGGTGTGGCTCTCCCCTCACTGCTTCTGGCTTTGGGAATGAAGAGCTACACAACGGATTTAGGTCGGTCCAGAAAGCATCAACAGATCCAAAAGTTCCATGGAAAAGGCAAGGAACAACCGTGCAACACAGTGCAAGATGCTGCAATGAGGCTTGAATAGCTTGGCATGCATGCACCTCAGGATTTGAGGCCCACTAAAAATAATACTTAAAATCAAGGCTAAACACTTACTTTACCCAGCTTTTATACTTGCCTGAGGTATTTCTATAACATAAAAGAGTTCATTTTCCTTTTCCCTCAAATAATTACAAGCAGTGTCAGTGAAATGCCCCACTGCGGCTGAGGGAGGGAGTGGCAGCCAGACTCGCTCTCCTTTGTCACCAGAAATCCACGTTCTGCTGCCTCGCTCACACCTACCAGACTTTGCTGACACCACAGCTGTGAAACAGTGCTTCCTCTCCACTCTTTTATTAGCTCACTCCAAGATGGTTGTGTTCACAGAACACAAATATCTTTAAAAGTTAACTCTTGGTGTAACTGATAAGCGAATGTGATCACAAGCTCTAACTCGGTGCCTTTTTCTGCTTACAGAGACTGGAGTTTTATGGCTTCAGCTGTTGCCATCCAGCAGGGAAGTGGGGGAAGAGCAGAGCTAAGAGAGGACAGCAGTATCTGAACCAACCAAAGAAGAAAAGCAAACATGAGGCAGTGCAGGACCCACTGCAGGCAAAGGGAAGGGACAAAAACATTTTTAGCATGGAGTGGAAGTAGGTGTTACACACACAAAAATATGGCTTAGCCTTCCTCTGCCTTTCCACTGGGGAGAACAGGCAGGACACCTTCTCCAGCCATAAAACCTCCCTTCTCCAATACCACAATGCTGAGACCGAGACGATTTTTTCTGGGCACAAAATCTTCTCCTCAGGAACTTCCAACACACTCCCTTATTGCCTGTACTGAAAAACTGAGGAGTGGCATCTCAGTAGACATTTGCTCACTAGTGAAGCATTTCTCTTTGCTGTGTCAGAGGTCATATTCTCCAAAAAAGTAACATTTTGTGGTCAAAAAAGCAGGATGAGACAGAAGACTCTGGTTACTAAGGTTTCTGGATTGCTGGAAACACCACTTAATTTCTCCTTTTTTTTTTTTTTTTTTTTTTGCACAAACACTGTGTTGACAGATGACAGAGCTGAAGATGGTGCTCTAAGTATATGCAGATGATGGAAAAGCATGCATTTCTTTCTGAGGAGTCACTGATATTTCACTGCGGTATTGTATATAACTCACTAGAAGCAATGCAATAAGGATAAGAAGTTCAACAGGGTCATTCTTGCCTATAATTAAAGCTTCCTGTTCTGTAGCTGTTTCAAAGACTTAAGAGGCAATGCATTAACTGCTTACCTGAAGTAGAAAAATTAACAGTGTTTGGCAAAGTACTTGAGTTCTGAGAGTATTATCATTTATCCTTTTGCTTCCTTCATCATAGAGATCACTCTAGGGATGAAATACAGAGCCAAAAATTCATCAAGGTGAGTACTGATGCTGAAACTGCAAACTATGCTTTTTAAAGTGACTTTTAAACTTCCTCTAGTAGCACAACCCAAAAATAAAATGCATTTCATTTTAAACCTCGCTGAAGTGTTACAAAGCCCAATAAAAATTTGGGTCAGTGAAAGAAAAAGAACAAGAGAGCAGGAAATAGCCTGCACAAACAGTTCTTTTAAGTCAGAACTGAAGCATCTGCGCGCTAGACACAAGAATTGCCATTTTAGGTCCCCTGCATGATGTATTAAGCACACACAACTTGGCCTTCCACACAGCTTCCCATGGCATTGCAGGAGCCTCTGGAGGACACAGAGTACACTGGGAGGTAGAAGGGTTCCATTTCAATGGCCCCTCCACTGCCAGAAGTTATCCCTGCCTCCTTTCTGCCTCCAGCCAGGGCCAACAGGAATGTCAGATAAGGAAAGCTGAGAGGTGCTTGCTCAATAAGAAAGTGAAGATCTTGTTACAACTAAAAGGAAAGCAGTGCAAAAGAGGCAGAGAGAAAGCAGAAGTTAAAGCAATAGCACTTGCATAGATTTATCCATAAGAAAGCTAATGTCTCCAGTCTTGGCTGATATTTCCTGTCAGCAAAACAAGCTCTGCTACTGCAGACAATCTTGAGAATACTGGAAAAAGCAGCTCCACTGTCAGGGCAATTCCACTGAGTATCTCTAGTCAGATGGATGTATGGAGCTGGTTCTCATCTGCACATGGAGTCTCTCAGTAGCAAGCTGAGCAAGCAGTAAAGTTGACATATATGAGTCACTACAGGAAAATAACACAACTTTTTGACAATAGCACCATACAAATTGCTTGTCAGCAAGGTCACAAGGTACTACCCGCAAAAATTAAAACCCTCTTTTCGCTTATTTGTCCCACTGGAATGAGAACAACCCTAATCTAATTCAAAATTGAAGCACTTTAAGTTCTTCCTTAGTCCCTTAATGCTCTGCTTCTAATACTTGAGAACATGTTCCTTGGAGAAAACAGAAAAGTATTCAATTCCTAGCATTTCAATACCACTAATTCTGATTCCACTTTCAATACAACCCTAATTCTGCCGTGTTTACCAAGAATAAATTATTTTATTAAGACTCCAGTTTGGCATGCAGGATAGAGTACATTTATTGTTGGCTTAAAGTTAGAAACTACAACAGAAACAAAAGACTGCAGCAATTATAGCAGTCATCTACTCCAGCTCTTCCTCACCATCAGTTAAAAGTCCAATATTTCTGCTGCCTCTTTCCCTGAGTGAACAGTCTAAGAGATCAATACTATCACAAAAAGTGAAGTTTGCAAGTGAAAATGGCTATGTTACAGGACTTCCTGAGTTTTTCAGCTTAGTTTCTACTGTGATGTACTTTGTTTTTGTGGAGACCATTTTAAATGTAAATATTTCTATCTGGAGGAAACACAGCCATTTGGTGGTTTGGTTTCTTTGCATGTTGTCCTAAAAATGACATAAAAGGAAAAAAGAATTCTGTGTAATTCTGGTAATAAGTGAGGCTCTCATTTGTTTTGCTTATAAAACTAGTTAAAAGCATGCTGGCCTGAAATACTAGTTTTGTGCTGGCAACAAACAGACAACCCATTTCTTAAGATGCATAGTCCTACCAGAAACATC